TCTCCCATCCCTGAACCACTGAGCGTCTCCCATCCCTGAACCACTGAGCATCTCCCTGGCCCTGAACCACTGAGCATCTCCCCAGCCCTTAAGCTAATGTTAAGCTCTTGTCAGTATACCTGGCATGCACATAACCCTTTGTAGATGTTTCCAATGCCAGCAGGGCCAGCATTTACTGGATTAATTAATGAAAGTATAGGTCAGTTAACGATGCAGAATGAATGGTTGAATATGCAAATCAGCCTACAAGGAAATGAAAAGTGAATGAATGAGTAGGTAGAAGGGGGGACTGAATGAGTGAACCTATGAATAAATGCAAGAATAAGTAGATAAATGATTGAGAAGTATGAAAAAAAGACAGCCTCCCTTCTGAGAGTTTCCCTAGCATTTCTGCTCCGGTCTCAGAAATTTCTTTTCCTGTAGGAATGGGGTGGCCTCTGAGGTCACCTCAGTGACAGCATCTCCAGGGATCTCTGCACTACACCAACCATCCACGAGCCACTGCCTCTTGTGAATCCTGATCCAGACTGAAGCCACCCAATGTGCCATAGGACATCCCACCCATGATGACAACCAAGAATATTTTCCCAGCCTCAAAGCCAGTGACCTACATCCTGCTCCAGACATCTTCAGAAGCCCCCAAATCCACCAAACCTTCCAAGACCAACAAATCCAAGACACAGGACTCAGCCAGAAAAATATCCAAGCAGCACCTAGAGAACTGTGGATACTACCTTTCTGAACCTAAAAACTTCTACTGCCTGAACCTGTGTCTCCTTGCAGCAGGGAAGCTTTTGGCCCCAGAGCCACAGGTACATGTCCCTGTGCCCAAGGCCACAGAGACCTGTATCCCTGAGGATCCCACAGCTAGGCTTCAACTGGTACATCAGGCATGTGGGTTCAGAAAGTATATCAACCCAGCCCTGGGCCCTCCTAGAACTGCACACGCCCTATCAGTCATGAAGACACCCTCTGCGGATGCCTTGAAGGTACCCTCTGTATCAGTCATGAAAACACCCTCTGCAGATGCCATGAAGGTACCCTCTGTATCAGTCATAAAAACACTCTCTGCAGATGCCATGAAGGTACCCTCTGTAACAATCATGAAGACACCTTCTGCAGACGCCTTGAAGGTACCCTCTGCATCAATTGTGAAGGCATACCCTTCAGTGGTTTCAAAACAGTCCTCTGCAGGGACCATGAAGCCAAGGACCAAGACCCAACCAAAGAACCAAAAGAAACAAGACAAAGAAAAACATTGTCTCTCTCTTGACCTGGTGCTCGTCAACCCAAACCGGTCAGCTCCATGCATCCAACATTTCCCTATTCCAGAAGCCACAGAGGTCACCATATCAGGAACCCATGGTATTTGTTGAACTACCACACAATAAACATCTGTCTGCAGTGTCTGTCTCCTACACTGAGGCTAGTGCTCCCAGCTGCATGGGCTGTGCACTGTGTAAGGGCAGCCTGCATCTACAGGAGTGTTGCTATAGATGTGTGTCTTTGCTTTGACACATCCAGCAGATGGCAGTAATGCGTCTTGGAGAACCAGAGGCTTCTAATGAAAGAAAAAACTTCAAAAGAGCTAGGGGTGGTCTGGAGCTATAGCTCTGTTGGTAGAATGGTTGTCTAACGTGCATGAAACCCTAAGTTCAAGACCCAGAAACTGCATGAACTGGGAGGTGACATGCATCTGTACTCCCAGCATTTGATGGGTGAAAGTAATCCAAAGTTCAAGATAATCCTTGGCTACATAGAGTTTCTGAGGTCAGCCATGGCTCAAGGTTTGCCATGCAAACCTGGTGACCTAAGTTCAACCTCTGGATCCCATAAAAAGGTAGAAGGGCAGATGTGACTCCACAAAGTTGTCTTCTGGTGCATGTGTGGCATGCATACACCCCCACACACTGAGGTCCAAGCTCTGAAACCAGGAAGAGAGAAGGGTCACAGGAGGCTGGGAGGTTGACGAGAATGGGAAGCATGATAGACAGATAAGACTGTATTATTTGCAAACCTTATTGACAAGCACATGGGCTACTAGGTAGGCAGGAACCAGCACACAGGCAGACATAAGCACACACTCAGACTGGCATATAGGCCACATGGAGGTAGGCACACAGGTCTCCAGACAGGCAGGCTAGCAAAGGTGAAAGTAACAGCTCTCTCCTCTAACCCAAAGGCCATATTTATGTAGACTCACACAAAAGTGGCATTTTTATAGTTAATAATAATAGTTAAATAAAAGATTATAAAGATTATATTACAATTTCCCCGGACATCAAAGATATGCCTTTTTTTTTTTAACCAACTGCATATCCATATGAGCGCCATGTTGTCTAAACATAGACTGGCCTCTGCAACCCTCTGCCCCCTACACACATACAACCATGCACACACAACAGCAATAAATAAAGGCCGGTGGTGGCACTGGCAGATGCTTTTCCTGGGTAGGAACATGGTGCTCCAAGAAAGGTGGCATTCCTACTCTGCCAGTGCCACTGGCTACCCAACCTAGTCAGGGACTAAATTCCAAGACTCCACTTGTTCATGTGCAAAATGGGGTAATAAACACCTCATTGTGTGGTTGAGAGCGTGACGTGAGATTAAATCATTTACCCCAGTGCTTCAACACAGACGGCACTTAAGGACAACCACGTGGGAGGCCAGCAGTGGACCAACAGAGTGACGCTTCACCCCTAACCTGTTGGTTAGTCTTGATGGTCAGGTTGAGCAGTACTAAGCAGTTCATGCAATGTGCCTTCACCCGTGTCTGCAAGGGCTGTTCTCAGGAGGACTAAGGAAGGGGAAGATCCACCCAGAATGGGCGGCACCATCCTGTAGGCTGGGGATTTGTGGGAATTAAGAGGATGAAGAAGGGAGCGTGCCAGCACAGGTGTTCTCTCTGTGTCCCTGTCTTTCTGTCTCCTGCTTTGCCATCATGATGTGAGATGTCGGCTATGCCATGTCCTCCCACCATGAAGAGGGAATCTGTGAAATAATAAATCCTTCTGTTGCCATCTAGGGGTCTGGCTTGGTCTTATTTTCTCTACCAGCTACAAAGCTGAAAGTAAGCCAGACAGTGCTGGTGCATGCCTTTAATCCCAGCACTGGAGAGGATGAGGCTGGCAGATCTCTGAATTCGGGGTTAGCCTGGTCTACAGAGTGAGTTCCAGGACAGCCAGGGCTGCACAGAGAAGCCTCATCTCAAAAAAAAAAAAAAAAATTGAAAGTAACCCCTCATCCATGCTCAGGAAAGCCTAGTGAACACATCCAGTCCCTATGGTGGGCTCTGGTAGAATTATACTTCAGTTTGTGGTTGGGGCCTTAAGAGGAGTAGACATGTCAGGCAGTGGTGGCCCCTTAATCCCAGCATGTGGGAGGCAGAGGCAGGCAGATCTCTGTGAGTTCGAGGCCAGCTTGGTCTACAGAGTGAGTTCCGAAGTGCTGCCCTCCTCTTCCTGCAAGGAGGAAGGAAAGAACATCCCAGAACCTGGCAGAAACAGGGGTTACCCGTACCTCCCTATATCTCTTGTCTCCCTCCACAGTGTAGCTCTCAGCCGGAGGTCACTCAGGCTTCAAAGGGACACTGGCTGACGCCTGCGGATTTTGGTTATCACAGCATAGAGAGGGGATGCTTAGTTCACACACCCTCATGAAAGAATTTAACGAAAACATTGAGTGCTAACGTGAGCATCTATGATCTTCAGCGACGGGCTTCCAGTTTCTCAGCTGGACATGCGGCTGCCAAGAATTATGAGCAGCTGTGGGCCTGGGTGCCCAAGTGACAACATTTTAGTCAGAAGAACCTGACCAACTTCCTTTTTTATTTTAATTTTATAAATTCTATTATTGAAAAAACTACAAAAAGTAAAAAGCATCTTACACCAAAATTGGCCAGATTCAAAATCTATCCTTTATTAACAATTCATGTGTGTGTGTGTGTGTGTGTGTGTGTGTGTGTGCTGTACATATATGTGAGTGTGTGTACACATGTGTGTATACCCTCAGAGGCTAGATGAGGGCATCAGACCTCTTGGAGCCAGAGTTGTAGGTGTTTGTGAGCTGCCCGATGTGGATCCAGACTTCACCAGCCATGATGGAGCAGCAAGTGCTTTTAATGGATGAACCTTCTCGCCAACCCTTTGGACTTTGATAGCACACCCTTAAAAGAGGTACACCTCACCTTGAGACCTGGAGGAGGGAGTCAGCACCCCAGGCTTGGCAGAGCAGCCGGCTGGGAAGAGCCTGCCCTGCTGATGACATCACGAGTGGAGTTGTCAGGCCAGCAGCTTCCATGGGGGAGAGATACAAAGTTTCATCTTGTTAATATTAATTATTATCACAATTATCATCATTACTTATTGCGTGTGGCATGTGTTGCATTCGTGTGTGTGTTTGGGGGCATGTACGTTTGTAAATGGCAAATGTTGAATGACATCTAGCATCTCTATCATCACTTCGTGTTTACTTCAAATGTTTAATTAGATTGTATTTGTTTGGGGGAGAAGCATGTGCTATGGCACACGTGTGGAGGTAGAGGGTGGAGGACAACTTGGAGAGTTGTTGCTCTCCTTCCACTATGTGGTCTCCTAAAATTCACCTCGGGTTGTCAGTTACTCCTGAGCCATACTGCGGGCCCCTCCATCTTGGTTTCTGAGATGGGGCCTCTCAAGGCACCTGAAGAGCGACCATTCAGCTAAACTGCCTACCCAGAGAGCTCCAGGGATCCATTTGTCTCCATTTTCCCAGCAGTGGATTGTGAGTGTCCACCACCGCACCCAGCTTTTATACAGGAGTCAAACTCATGAAGGTTCTCATGTTTACAAGGAAGACCAACCTCTCCTCCCACAACTGATGCGGGGGAATTGTCTGTATTCTGTCAATCATATTTTAATAAAACGCTGATTGGCCAGGCAGGCAGTATAGGTGGGAAAACCAGACAGGAAGTAGAGGTGATGCAATGAAAACAGGAGTATCCTGGAAAGCAGGAAGCCATTCCTCCATTCCTGGGCAGACCACCGAAGAGGCAACATGTAAGCTGCCCCCGCTGAGAAAGGTACTGAGCCCATGTGGCTAACATAGATAAGGATAATGGGGTAACATAAGTTATAAGAATTAACAAGAAGCCTGACCTAATGCGCCATTCAGTTTATAACCTTATGGAGTCCTGTGTGTAATTTCTCTTTGGGATTTGCCGGCTGTTGGGGTACCGGGCGGGACAGAAGCCCCAACAAGCCGGCCCCCGTCATGTTACATATGGCGCCCAGACGTGGATAACTGAATCCACAGAAAGCTTGAAAAAGTTTGGGAAAGAATAGAGTAAAGCATGTTTTGTTGGTAGCAGCAATTTCTCGGGTCTGTTCTGCTTGCTAGAGGCAAGCAAATGCTCTCATCTAAGAGAGGCTTCCTAACTCAGCTTTAGCTGCAAAACTTTGTAGCTCCTTTAAGAGGTCCTGCCGCGAAACACTTAAATGGTATTGATGAAAAGCTGAACGCATGCTTTTCGGTTTTCAGTCGTAGCAGGAAAAACGCTGCGCTGTTTTAAAATGCCGGCTTTCTGGGCTGTCCTGCCAGGGCAATCTCTGACTCTTTCAGGCAGGCAGTCCGACTGAGTGTGGTCTGTGAGCAGAATGCTGCAGCTTGCTTGCTAGCAAGGACCTTGAAACGCCATAGAGTTGTGGCAGTAAACATAGCTCTGGCTGGTACCTCAGCCACGAGGATTTAGCCGTCAAAGCCACTGCTCTCCATATTGCTTAGTAAATTAAAGGCTCATGTGGTCAGAAAAAGAGAGATATACAGTAAAGAGAGATTCAAAGAGGAAGAAAACCTCTAAATATTTTACAGTGTGTTAGAAATATATATGCAGGCTAAAAGTTAAAGTTCTTAATGTAAAAAAAAGGAAGAAAGAGAGTAGTTGGGTGTGGTGGTACACACCTTTAATTCCAATTATGCCTTATTATTCCTTTAATGCCTGGGAGGCAGAGGCATATTGACCTCTGTGACTTCAAGGGGCAGAGGTAGATTGACCTCTGTGACCTCAAGGTGTGGTAGTACACGCCTTTAATCCCAATGCCTGGTAGGCAGAGACAGATCTCTGTGAGTTCAAAGTGTGGTAGCACACACCTTTAATCCCAATGCCTGAGAGGCAGAGACAGAAGGATCTCTGAGTTCAAGGTGTGGTAGCACACCCCTTTAATCCCAGCACTGGGGAGGCAGAGACAGGAGGATCTCTGTGAGTTCAAGGACAGCCTGGTCTACAGTGTTATTCCAGGACAAAGATATACAGAGAACCTGTCTCAAAAGTTAAAAGTAAAAATAAAAGAAATAGAGGTTAAAGTTAAGCCACACAAAGATGGAAAATACAAAGAGAATCTTGATACTGTATGTTATTATACTCTCTTTGAATTGTTTGAATGCTGAGGAAGGAGCAACAGCTGCTAAAAGACTTTTGTTTATAAATGCTGCTGAACAAACCCAAGATAGGTATTTTGAAAATACCTTGGCTTCAAAACTGAAGTCAAAAGGTATGTTACTTTGGAGAAGAGATTTTGCTTTTGTTTTCACAGAAAATAAGAGGTTGTGGATTCATTCTGAGTTAAGAAAAATCCAGTATGACCAAGGGAGGCCACCTGAAAAATCTCCGACAGGAATAGATGGCCCAGATGTCTGAGTTCTACATCCAGAACGGATTCAAGGCGCTGCCTGAGATGATCAGATCTCAAAGGATACTCCAGTCAGGACTTGATTATAACTCTAAATTTTCTTTAGGTCCCCATAAGATCATCAGCGCCCCCAACCAGCAGGAAGTAGCCTGAAATACTACTGCCCACATTCCCAACAAATGGACTATGGGTACTTTCCTTTGTTTAAAAAAAAAAAAAAGAGGGAAATGATGCGGGGGAATTGTCTGTATTCTGTCAATCATATTTTAATAAAACGCTGATTGGCCAGGCAGGCAGTATAGGTGGGAAAACCAGACAGGAAGTAGAGGTGATGCAATGAAAACAGGAGTATCCTGGAAAGCAGGAAGCCATTCCTCCATTCCTGGGCAGACCACCGAAGAGGCAACATGTAAGCTGTCACACTGAGAAAGGTACTGAGCCCATGTGGCTAACATAGATAAGGATAATG